GCCGCTTTCCCAGGAAGTTCAGCTCCTGCCGTGCCGGGGCGGCTGCAGCCTTTGCAGCGCCAGGGTTTGGCTCTGCGCAACGGGAGCCCGTGGCCAGGAGGCTGCCAGGGCTGCCTGGAGCCCGGCCTCAACCCCGTGAGTGGTGCTGGTGCTGGGTTGGGTGGGCGGCTGCAGGGGGGCAGCCTTGGGTCTGGGTCCTGGCTGCCCGTGGTGCCGGGCACGGTTTGGCCGGGGCAGCTCGAGCACCGCGCTGCGCCGACAGCGCTGCGGTAAGGCTGTAACATTATCACCAGCAAATGGCCCTCAGTGTGTTACTTATAGGAAACAGAAAAAACAAACAAACCCTGAATAATAGCCCAAACATCTTTTGTGGGACTTACGGCTTTCTAACTTTATTTAAAAAAAGAAGGAAAAAAGTAAATTTTCCCTGTCGGAGAATTGCTATCATCACGCAATGGCACTTAGGAATATTATAAACAACTGTGTCAGTTTATAAGGCTAAAGACATTTTTTCTGGGGCTCACACAAGCTTTCCTTTCCACAGCAGACCGTCCTCGCCGGGGGTTGCGGAGCCTGGTGGATGGCACGTCCGCGGGCCCCGCTGGGTGCAGGGTCACCTTCCATCCGCTGACAGCCCTCAAGACCTGCAAGTAAGGGGTTGCTAAAGGATTTTATTCTGGCACCAGTGCTTCCCGTTGGTGCCCCAGTTCCTCCCAAAGCTCCTTGTGCAGTCCCCAGATGGGGCACGTTGATCTGTGTCCCTTCCTCATGGCACCCATGGGTGCGGGTGGCTGCGGTGGAGCTGGTTCCTCACCAGGACCCCAGCGCTGCGGCTCTGCCCTCGGGACACCACAGCAAACCCCATGTTCTCTCCCCAGTCTGGTCCCCAATTTCTCCCAGTTCAGCACTTTCCCTGCTGTAGCCCCGTCACAGGGCAGCTGTAAATCAAAGCCCAGGCCCACACGGCCGGGCTTCGCGCAGCCGGAGGGGCAGAGCTCTCGGCACCTCTTGGCACGGGGCGTCCTCCCGGCTCCGTGTGTGCTGCGCTCAGGGGGAACCCGCCTGCTCCAGGGCTGCGGGAGGACCCCCCAGTTTTATCCATCTTGTTTTGTGTGTCCAGGGCTGCGAAACACGTGCTCTAGCTGGATCACTGGCGCTTGCTTTCACCTCTGCAGCCCCTCACCTGGCAGCCGGAGCGTGTAAGGCGCACCCTGCACCCGCGCTGTAGCTGCGGAAGATTTATAAGAGCGGTACGTGACTGACAGATAAGGGACTCCCACAGAGCGAAGATGAGAGCGAGGGAACCGGAGAGCTGGATGTTTGGACCTGATTCAAGGAATTCGGAGCCCCTCTTGTTCAGGCAGGTTGGAATAGAAAATTTGCCAAATCAACCTAACACCATAAAAACGTTCCTTGAGAAAGGGCTGGGGCAGAGCTGGGTTTTAAAAAACCCCACTACCCAAAGCGCCGTGTCCCACCCTGGTATTTATGACATGCACATGGATGCTGTTGATAGCAGAGATGTTTTTGTAAGTCAATAAAACGGAAAAAGAGATTCCACTTTGTTAAGAGGAGTGGTTACTTTGAACAAATTGAGAGCAATGAAGGAGATCATTCCATTGTTTTAAGATTTCCATAACTCACTGTGCTTAAGCGCATAAAAATGTAGACATTTTGGCAATAAAGTTTGGGTAATTTTTGACAATGAATCAAAAATCTCTCCCTCTTGCTGCCCTCCCCCTTTTCCCTTTTGTTGTTCCTGAAGGCAGCTGCCCCCCTCCCACCCCCCCTATGTTCCACCCTCTCCACCCCATGTCCTCATGGACGGAAAAATGTCTTCAGCAGAAACCTCCCAGCTTTTAATTTTCTAATCTGCAGCATCTGTGCCCAGCCCCTTGGCTCCCGCGGGCTGTGGGGTTGTGATTGCCGGGAGGTCACGCACAAGGCTAGGGGCAGGTTGTGCGCTGCTCCGGGGGCACCAAGCTGTGGGGTGGGACCGTGAGTGTGGGACCCCCACTGCTGCTGGGGGCTGGGGGCTGGGGGCTCAGGACACCGGGAGCTGGAGGTGAAGCGATGCTGCTGCAGCTGGCAGGGGGCACAGCTCCCGGTGCCGGCACCGCTGCGGCCCCCTTGACTCCCTTGGTGTCCTCAAACCATGCACGGAGCTGGCAGGGGGGGGCTCAGGCTGATGTTTTTGCCTTGGAGAGATCAGGTTTTGGCGGTGGTGGTCTTTGTTATTGTTTTTCTTTTTTCTTGTTTGTTTTGTCACTTTGTTGTGGTTTGTGGGTGTGTTTGGTTTGGGTTTGTTGGCGTGTTTTTTGTTTTAAAGGTGGAGGTGCCGGCCCCACATCAAGGGTGAATTACCTGAGCCCTGCGCTCCATGTATTCACAGGGGGTCTCCCTAAGACCACACAGGACCCCCTGGCCTCATCCCGGGCAGCCTGGGGGCAGCAGCAGGAGGCGCCCAGCAGCTCACGGGTCCTGCAGCTGCCCCAGTCCCCATGCTGCAGTTGGTGTGGGCAACCCTGTCCCTGTGTCACCTCTGCCCAGGGGAGCTCCTCCAAGTGCTGGGGGTGTCTTGTGTCTGTCCTGTGTCCGTCCTGGTCCAAGGTCGGACCCCGCAGTGCCAGCACCGCAGCTCTGCTGCCTGTCTGCGCCTCTGCCCGCACTCCTGGGCCAGCTCCTCCCCGCTGTTTGTGTGAGGGGCCACGCTCTGAGGGCAAATATTTTCCACGAAGAGCAGAACTGTTTGGGTGAATAAAAGATTGTTTTGTCAACAGCTGATTTTCACTGGGAAACCACTTTCCTGGATGGGTGGGGGGGTGGCACTGGGTGTCCTGGGAGCCCCAGCACTGGTGAGTGGGTGGGGGCGCAGCTGTGGGCTGGTGACCCTGCACGGCCCCATGGCGCAGCACAGCACCCCAGGCTGCCCCACATCAGGCCGTACTGCTCTGCTCCTCACCAAACTGCCCTGCAGTGAAACAGGGCCCCGAGCTGCACTGCACCAAACTGCTCCCAGTCACCACAGCCTGCTCCAAGCTGCACCGCCTCTCACCACCCGGCGCTGTGCCACACTGCGTCAGCCTGCAGCCCTCCAGCCAGCACCACAGCACAGCAACCTGCACCACATCACACCAAACCGCACCACCTCCCACCAACCTGCACTGTTCCGCACCTCAATCTCACCAAACTGCACCGCGTGGCACCGGATGCCACCGCCCTGCCCCAGCGCGCAGCAAATTGCACTGCAGGGCAGCAGCTCACTCCACGCTTCACCTGAGTGCACCAAACCTCACCACAGTGCACCGCAGCTCACTGAACTTTGCCGCATTGCACTGGAGCTCACCAAACTGCACCGCGTCTCACCAAACCGCACCGCACTTCACCAGATCTCACCGAACTGCACCACACAGCACCGGAGCTCACCAAACGTCATCAACCTGCACCCCATTGCACCAGAGCTCACCAAACTGCACCTCACTTCACTGGATCTCACCAAACTTTGCCGGATCTCACCAAATGTTACCGCACTGCACCGGACTGCACCAAACTTTGCCGGATCGCACCAAACTTTGCCGCGTTGCACCGGATCTTGCCAAACTGCATCACATCTCACCAACGTGCACTGCTATTGATCAGCGCACACAAAAGTTAAATGCATCTCATCAAAGTGTAACGCACTTCACCAGCTCTCACCAAACTTCACCGCATTGCACCGGATCTCACCAAACTTTGCCGGATCTCACCAAACTGCACCGGATTGCACCAAACTTTGCCAGATCTCACCAAACGTTACAGCACATCACCAAACTGTACCACACTTCACCAAAGTGCATCACATGTCACCAAAGTGCACCGCACCTCACTGAATTGCACTGCACTTCACCGGATCTCACCAAACTTTGCCGGATCTCACCAAACTTTGCCGGATTGCACCAAACTTTGCCAGATCGCACCAAACTTTGCCGGATTGCACCGGATCTTGCCAAACTGCACCACTTCTCACCAACGTGCACTGCTATTGATCAGCGCACACAAAAGTTAAATGCATCTCAACAAAGTGTAACGCACTTCACCAGATCTCACCAAACTTCACCGCAGTGCACCGGATCTCACCAAACTTCACCGGATCTCACCAAACTTTGCCGGATCGCACCAAACTTTGCCGGATCTCACCAAAAATCACTGCACATAATCAAACTGTACCACACTTCACCAAAGTGCATCACATGTCACCAAAGTGCACTGCACCTCACAGAACTGCACTGCACTTCACCGGATCTCACCAAACTTGCTGGATTGCACCAAACTTCACCGGATCTCACCAAACTCTGCCGGATTGCGCCGCACTTCACCGGATCACACCAAACTTCACCGGATCGCACCAAACTTCACCCAAGTGCACTGAAGCAGCCTGCACTGCACCAACTCTCCCCACACAGCTCCCTGTGTGAGTGCACTGGTGCCAGTGTTTGTACGCAAAGCAGCGCGGTCGCCAAAAGCCACCTGGCTGTGACCAAGTGCCACCGCCACAGGGCTGACGTGCAACGCAGCCGAAAAGGCTGGAGTGTGTTTGTTAGTGTTAATCATGACTGACATTACGAGAACCAGATGATGGTGGAGCCAGGAATGCACTCGCCCATTAGTCACTTCAGATAAATACAGTCATCTGTTTTAGCAATATGAGGGCTTCAGAGATTAGCCAAGAGGCGCAGGCACACACGCTCGCACTCGTCAGGAAAATTGCAGTAACCTGGGCTGGACACAGGGCAGGCGATACAAGGCCAAGGGTGACGTGCACGTGTTGGGCCGTGGTTACAGCTTGTGTTGTGCTTTTTACTTGGTGCTCAGGCTGCCCCGGTGGGACGGTGGCTGCAGCGCTGCCCCCACAGCACCCAGCCTGGCCCCGGAGCAGGGACCGGCCGGGCTGCGGCACGCTCAGTGACCGTGACGGTGCTAGCAGCGAGCCAGGGCTCTCAGGATGCCTCATGGCTGAAGCATGCAGTATTCTTGTTTCCACCCATGTGCTCCACAAAAACAAAGGGTGAGCGTGACAGCAGCCTGCCGGGGGCTGGTGCAGCCCTGAGCTGCTCTTCCCAGCCCCCTCCTCCTCCTCTGGGGCTGCAGCAGCCATGCCCAGGGCTGGTGGTGCTGCAGGGCTGTGGTGCTGCCTGCCCGCTGCTCCCAGGCTGGCCCTCACCCTGCAGCACTTGCACTTCTTTTTTTTTTTCCCCTCTTTTTATTTTATTTTTTTCAGTGAACAACTTTATTTCCCACTTTGACATTTACCAGACACACCTGGGAGCCTGCCTGCCAGAAGGAGAAATGGCACAAGAGGAAATACATCTTCACAGCCTTGAGAAAGGAGAGGTTTGGAATCTGAGTCCGTAAACACCGTTGCTGCGCAGTGAGCAAACCCAGAGCAGGTTGTGCTCTGGAGAGTGTAACCCCACCTCCTCTGCTCCTTTTCTGAATTAAACAATAGGAGAAGCAGACTGCACTCGCCCTTCTCTGACGGGATGGTGACAGGTTAGGGATGCTGTCCTAGGAGCAAGCACCTGACCCCCCGATGAGCTGGGGAGGAACCTGTGGCCTGCAAAAATCCCACTCCTTGGGAAACTTTTCTCTTGTGACCCCCTGAGGGTGAACGCAGACAGCTCTGAGCTGGGCTTTAGCTTCCCCAGGGGCTGTGGAGATGCTGAGGGCCTGGCCTCCCCTTGCTGGCCGCAGCGCGTGGGGTCACCGCCTGCAGGGCCAGATCCAGTTTCCGCCTCTCTGCCTCGATCAGCCTCGGGTGCTGTGATGCTGCGGGCGGGGAGGTGGCCGTGCAGCGGGTGCATCAGCAGCCACCCGTGTGAAATCCCTTCCAGCACCGAGCCCGGCGCCTGCTGTGCCGAGCAGAGCCCAGGGCAAAGCTCTCGGCTCGCTGCCCGGCCCCACCACCACAGCCCCTGCAGTGACCGTGGTGAGTGCAGGGGCAGAACGAGCCCTGAGCAGAGCAGAGCCCAGCCAGGACGTGGTGGGTGCTGGAGGGCTGTGGCTGGTCCGAGCCGTGGCTGTCAGCTCAGCACCGTTCCTCTCCCAGCCTTTTTCATCCCGGTTGTGCCCAGCTGCAGGAGCCTGCACGCAGGAGCCTCCACCGCCGCGTTTTGTCATGTCTTCTGGGCCGTAAATAGGGGTGCTGGCAAGTAACATAAAAATAAATCTGTTAAAACAGTGGTATTTTATTTTATAGTGGTCAAAGCCTGATCTTGATTAAAGACCCTTCCCCACGTTGCTATAGCAAATACCTGGGAGGGCAGGGCTGTCTCCTTCGGTGAGTTACACAGGTGCGGAGCGTAATTTACTCTCCCCACATCTTCAGCCTTCAAACCGCAGCAGCATTTTTCTGTGCCTGAGGTTGCCAAGATAACCCTGTGCATTTGTCACAGGCACATTTAAATGATAAATGTGACACCTCTGGGAGGAAGCACCGCCGGGTCGCTCTTCCCTGGTCACGCAGCCGCAGCACCACCCGCGCCGTCCTTCCCAGTGCAGGTTTTATCCCCTCACCTTTCTTTCCAACTCGCCGAGCAACAACTGTCATGTTTATACTCATTCCCTCCCCAAAGTCCTGTTCTACCTCAAGGATTAAGCTTTCATCCTTCATTATGAGTTTCTCCCCCAGGCAACATTTTCCAAGAAGAAAAAGGAATTTCTGGGATTTTGCTTTTAAGAGATTATGTTACTAAGCGTGTGTTTGTGCCCAGGTGAGGAGCTTTCCGCACACACACGGGTGATTTGTCACAACCTGTGTCAACAGAGCAAGCAGCAACGGGGGGGAGAAGGGGGCCTGGTGTCTGCCAGTGGTCGAGCTGCCCGAGTCCCCAGGGTGTCCGTCACCAGCCCCAAGGTGCCCGTCCCCAGCCCCATACCGGCCACGCTGTGAGCTGCCACTTCACTCTCCTCTCTGGCACTGCCACGCTGCTCCAGGGCCTCTCCTCTCAGAAGGACGGGTGCCAGGGCACATCAGCCGGGCTGCAGAGAAGGAGGGGGCTCGGCCCCACTCATTTAGGGTCACTGCTGCGGTCCCACAGCCTGAGCCACAATCCCCAGCCACCGGTGCTCGCTGCCTGAGGCCGATGCCGCAGCACCCTTCACAGTGCTTCAGTTCTCCCCATCCCCAGCGGCGTTGGCACCTTCCCCTGCTGCTCACACCCAGCGGAGCCAGGAGCAGTCGTTGCCACCTCCTGCTCCTGCCTGGGGAGCCCCGGTGCTGCTGTGCTCCTGTCTGTGGGAGCCCTCTGCAACTTGTGAGGAGCGCACACCGTGCCGGGAGGCTTGGCGGCACGGATATTTGGCTGCACAGCGAGTGCTGACCGAGGCTGTGCTTCCCTTGGCTACAGCACTTGTTGTTAAATCTTCTCTGGGAGCTCATCTAAGACCAACAAATTAACATCAGGGAAACACGGCAGCTAAGGGCAACCCACCAAAATAACCCAAACCTGCGGTTACAACGGGGGAGGCAAGCACAGCATGGAAAGGAGAGCTGCAGCACGCCGAGCTTCAGCACCGGGGCTTCACCAGGAAAAGCCATAAACAGTGGAAGATGAGATGCAGCCTCCAGGGCCCCCCGCCCGCCCCAGAACCCGGGATGCAGCCACCGGGAGCCCCCGGGGCTCGCACCCCACCCAGCTCCACAGACACTTGGACCGCGGATGCAGGCGATGAGCAGCGGCCGGGCCCGGTGAGTCACCGCGCTGAGTCAGACGCTGCTCGTCCTCCTGCACTTCTTCCTCACGGTCTGGGGGACGGCACGGAGATATGTTCCTAGAGAGATAAGCAGCTTTTCCGTTGCTGGGACTGCAGCCTTCGCCTGTAATCATCGAGGAGCGGTAATTGATGATTGCTTACTCTGGATGCTTGAGCCCGGCCGGCGTGCTGTCCTGCTGCCAGAGCATCAGGCCGTAACCCTGCTGTTGTGAAATTAAACAATTACCAGATTCTCCGCTGCTCTTTGATAAATTGTTCTTAGCTCTCCTTTAAAAGTCAATAAATAAAAATAGTCGGACTCCGCTCCTCCCCGAGAGGTGCTCGGCTTGAACATCCAGGCACAAAAACTCGCTTTCTTCTGCAGAAACCTCCCTGGAGGTCCTGATGGCACGGTGCCCTGCGGAACTCAAACACAAAGGGTAAAGCACATCACAAAGACTCATAAATCCAGGGGCAGCCCAAGCACATGGAGCAGGCAGAGCCCTGCCAAAACGTGCATAACAGTAGGTATGTATCACACACAGACACACCGCCGTGGGTATTACAGAGCCTAAACCTGATTAAAGCCTTTCTACCCCCCACCAATGGTCAATTCCATAAAACAGCTCACCCAGGAGACTGAATTCATTTCATCCCCAAAGTCTAATTAAAGCCATTAGTGTATTCCTTGTCTTTCTGATAAGATCAAAGCATTCCAAGAGCCAGTCATTACCTTATTTTCAAGACAATTATACAACATCTACCATCGATTTATTCCGCCTCCAGCTGTACACATTTATCTCTGTCTATCATCGCATAATCTGCGCCATCAGACACAACAAGAGCACGGCTATCAGCTGACAAGGGCCCGGGCTCGCCTTGGTGGGTTTCTTTTTCACCCTCGACTGCAAGTGAACATCAGAGGCAGCGCTGGGTGCCCGGGGCCGTGTCCCCAGACGCTGGCCGGGGGCAGACAGATGCCCACTGCCACCTGTGTGGGTCCCCCCTGTGCCCATCCCGCAGGGCTCCCCGCTGCTGCTTGGGGTCCTTCCCAATTCAGCTCCCTGCAGCCCCTCTCAGCCCCCACGTAAGCACCCAGGTACCTATGATTTATAAATCTGGTCTGTTCCTTCTAAACCTGAGCGCCCTAAACAGGCACGGTGTGGCAGGAACGGCTGTGCCCTTAAAGCACGAGGCGTGCTGCCACCCCCCTTACAAGCCCCCCGATGTTTCACGGGGAAGCTGCCACCACGACACCACAGCCGTGCTCTGGGCAGGGCCCCTGCAAGCACCCAGCAGTGGTGTGATGCTCCTGCTCCTTCAGGGATGTTCTCTGCACCGTGAGCATCTTCCAGCCGAAGACAATCCCACATTTCCTTGAGACCAGCTCCCGGCCGTGCCCTCCCCGCTGCCCACCGGGTCCCTGCGGTGCCGGATGGGGTTGTGCTGGGAGCCCACCGCTGAACCCAGGCACTTGCTGGGCCCTGCCCTGTGCAGGAGCAGGGCTGTGCACGCACGGGGTGCCTTCCCCTCGCATAAACACATCTCCAGCAGCTCACGGCCCCTGCGAGAGCAGAGCTGTGAATTTTCATCTCTCAGCTAATCAACTCGCCTGCTAGTCCAAACTTGTCAGGAGCTTTATCCCTGCCCTGCCAGCCCTCCTTCCAGCCCACGAGTGACAGAAGACGTTCCCATCCCTCCCTGAGACACATCCAGCTGCTACAAAAACAAACATCCTCCCGATGGCGACCCCTCCTCGTCAAACAGCCCTGACCCCGGGCCCGCTGCCCCCCAGCCACCCTACAACCACAGCGGCGCTGCGCCCGGCCGAGCGCCCCGGCACAGCCAGCAAAAGGGCGATGTTTACCCGCGGGGACAGGAGAGTGGAGTTAGCACCTAGGCTGGAAGTTTATTAATGGCTGGTTCTCCCTGGTCCCCCCGTGACAAAAGATTAATCACCTGGCAGAGCCTGTGCTGCCCGGGATGAGAGGCAGCTGTGGCAGCACCGGCTCCCCAGGCTTCCCGAGGGGACACAGCCAAGGGCAGCCCCACAGCTCAGCTGCCCCCCACCCACCCTAATGGCCCCCCAAGCCCACAGCAGGGCTGGATTTGCAGGGTGCATGCCAAGGGCTCCCTACCTGGGAAGCTGCTGAATTTGATAGGGAAGGAGGGTCCCGGTCCTGCCCCATGGGCTCACTCCAGTGGCCAGGCCCCATGCCTGTCTCCTTTCTTCTGCCTTTTGTCACTGCTCCACACCCCTGGGTGCTGCGGGGGCACAGGCACAGCCTCCCAGCAGGGTTTGGTACCGGTGGTGCATGAGCAGCCTGGTGGCTCCCAGGTGCTGGAGCCCTTCGGAAACATGGGGAGGACAAAGGGAAAACCTCAGCAAGCACAGGGGAGCTCACAGCATCACCACGGAAAGCCATTCCTGGTGGGGCTGCCCTGCAGAAAGGCACCCAGCAGAGAACATCTCGGTGCTCACGGCCCAGGGGAGCAGAGCCCTGCAGGGCCCAGACCCACCTGAGAGTTCTGCAGCTCCAAAGGAGTCTGTTTCAGCTGGATACCCCCCAGATCCTAATTAGATTAACCAAATCCCGTTTATGTAGCAGCTATATCAGTACGAACACCGCTGTGGCCACCTGCATTGACTTCATGAAGGCATTTGGGGCTCTGTACCTGCAGGATGAGAGCTCTCTGCAGCCCCAGCCGGGAGAAGCAGCACGCTGAGGTGCAGGACAGCACCAGGACACACACCCCAGGGGCAGGAAGGTCTGAAAACCACGAGCAGGGCATTTCAGCCCCTGTGCTTGCTGCTTTCCCTGTCCCACAAGGGGATGCCCCAACCCAATTCACCTGGAGCCTCTGCCGGCTGTGGCAGCGGGATGAGACCCCCGGGCGGCTCCCCAGGGGCTGCCAGCAGCGGTCGAGGCTGAAACAAGAGGGCAGGAGAGCGGGGAAGAGCAAACTTCATCTTCTTGGCACATCTGCTGCTGCTAAACCTGAGGCACGAAGCCCCCTCCCAGCACCTGAAGCCTCCCACTGCACCCTGGGGGGGGGCAGAGCCCAGCAAATAAATCAGCTCCAGCCCCCCCCCCGCTGCCAATTAACGGACCCCAATTAAAGCACCTGCGTGGTGGGAGGAGCCGCCTGGCTTCATTAAGCCGCCTCAATTAGTGCTTTTTCAGGTGTTTCTGTGCCCGCTCTGCCGGAACCTCCCGGAGGGGTCCCCGGGCACCGCTCCCCGCCCCCCCCAAGCACCGAGGCCCCCCCCTCGGCCCCGTTCCCCGGGCGCCCCCTGGCGGCCTCACGGCGCGGCGCAGCCTCCGGGCCCCGCAGCCCGCGGCCGGACGGCGCCACCCAGCGGCCGCTCTCGGCATGGAGCCGGGGCTGGGGGCAGCGGGGGCTGAGGGCCGGGGGGTGCTGAGGGACAGCCGGGGGCTGAGGGCCCCCCCCCAGGGTGCTGCAGTAAAGGGGGGGGCTTGGCTTTAGCACCGTCCTGGGGGTGCCGCCGTGCCCCCACGCTCTGGGCTAGATTGGCCCCAAGCGCCTTCGTTGCGTTGTCCATCCCTGGCGCTGCCGCCATCTCACAGCAGCACCCACAGCCCCTGCCCCTGCTCCTGTCCCTGTCCCTGCTCCTGCAGCTTCCACACTTCCACAAACTTCCACACAGCTTCCACAGGAGCTGGGCTAACAGCAGCCCGCCGGCACAGCCCGCTCACTGCCATGAGGACAAACGGGCAGCTCCTTCCAGGGGGAGCAGGAAAACAAGCACGCTAAGCGATGCTGCGCCCCATTTCCCTTCAAAAAGGGGGACACAGCATCGGGGTGGCCCACCACACAATGGTCCACAGGAGCTGCGGGCACTGCTCCCGGCAGGAAAGCCGAGCGCTGCGTGCAGTTACCTGCCGTAAACCCCGCGTTTCCACAATATCCAACCTCCAGCTAGGTGATTTTAGGCGGGGCCATGAGCTGGCTAGTCTCAAAGATTTAGGAGGCTGTTGATGGAACAGAAACGGTGACTCACTGCTTTTGCTGCCTGTCTGTGACACTCAGCTTCGCTGCACTGAGTAACCACAGCCTGTCCATGCGGGCAGCTGGCTGGCTTGTGTGAGGGAGCTCTGGGTGGGCTGGGGGGGGAGAAGGGAACCCCAAACAGCCCCCAGACCCAGGGCTGCTGAACCTCGTGCTGTGTTTGGGAATGGTACCTGGGTGAAGCAGCAGGGCTGCCAGCCGGGGCAGGGCCGGGCATGGCCTGCGTGGAAGTCTCAGGGGGATAAATGGGCACCTTGTGGCCCAGGGACTGCCCACATCCCTTCCTCTTGTGCAGAAAATGGCTGCATTTTAGGGGCTGGGCTCGCTGGCCTCACCCACAGCACCCAAACGCTCACTGAGGGCAGCGCGGTCTGCCAGGGGCAGGGGAAGAGCCGGGCACACCTTGCTGTTTACAGAAGGGGCTGTAAGCAGGCAGAGTCCGCACACACCCCTCCTCACCTCTGCTGCTATAAAAAGCAGGCAGGGCTGTGGCCGAGACACCCGGGTACCACCCCAAATTCCTGCCTGGGCAGGGCTCTGGGCCGAGGCGTTGGAGGAAGGGCTGGGGAGGGAAGCAGAGCTCCTTCCGTGGCTGCTGCGTGCGGCAAGGCCGCGGCCGCGCTCTCGGGGCACTCCTCAGAAATTTCATCAAGCCCCAAGAGATGAACAAAGAGCTCCTTCCAGCTTGCTGCAAAACCTGTTCAACCAAGCCGATGCAAAGATAAGAAAAGCAGGTCACTGTTGAGGCGTAATGTGCAGGAGTTGATGAGCCGTGGGCTCTCCTTGATGGCAGGGCTGGGTGGCACCGGGTGGCCCCGCGGTGCTGCTCTGTGGGCACAAAGCACATGGAGAAATCCAGCACCGTGCTTGGGCTGGGAGAGAGACTGAGAAACAATACAGCCCAGAAGACGATCAGCAACACTTGCTCCTTATCTGCTGTACGCTGAAGAAATCTTTCTGACATCTCAGAGCATCAATTAAAGCCTTGGCTGCCGCATCCCGGCGCCCGCCCAGCTCTCAGCAGGTTCGTGCGAGGCAGCCCTGAGCCACACACGGCCCCAAGTCAAAACTCCAAACATTTCCTTAAGCAATTTGCACATCTTAAAAATAAAATCCTTTATTGATAATATGAATGTTTAACATGTTTAATGCCGTCAGCTATAAAAATGATTAAAGAGTTCAGCTTGGTACATTTGGCTTTACAAATTTACAAGTGTTAATGAATTAATACTAGTGTGTACGTTTTGCACTTCATTATACTCCATTAGCCAGTGACAAACTCTGCAACAATTTCTGCTTGTAACAGATGTGAATTATAGAAGAAATATTTAGTTGCTTTCACACAGAATCTACATCAACAGTTAAATACTACCTCTAAATGTCTTACTGTATTAGTTGGATCCATTTTAATATCTTGTGCTTAGTTTCTCTCAGAAGATAGGCTACTAGCAAAAATACATTCTTTTGCATACCCCCTTCCCATATTATATTTTAGAAGAACCAGTACTCAGTGCATTTCCTAATAAACTTCATCATAGCATCTCTCTCTCTAGAGCTATTGATAAGGAAAGGGGATAATACAATTTAGATTAATGTAAAAGCAAAGAAACACGTTAAAGCAGTGTATACAAAAGCCTCACTTTTGAATCGGCAGTGATACGTGGGCCTAAATTCATCTGCCCATCAGGTTTTTAGAATTACTCTCATCAAGAGAAAAAATCTGCTATGAAAACTTACAAAAGTAATAAATGTGCTTCCCTAAAAGCCACTGCCCACTTATCTCCAGGCTGCCCATCTTCCTACCGTTAGCACGTAGCCCCTTCCAATGGGTTAGGAACCATGGCACGTAACACCACAGTTTAAAAGGCTACTAAAAGGTTTGTAAAAACCTGTTGTTCTAGCCTAAATATTCTCCCTTGCATGGGAGAGACCAGCAGGGGCACTTCAGACAACGGCCATGCCAAAGCAGCACAAGAGTTGCGATGGCACCAGGTGAAGGAGCTTCCAGGCCACGTCCAGCACCGCGTCCTCCCGGCAGCCACAGGGCTCTTTCCTCCAGTGAAGTGGGATGTGCTTTGTTTAATTAAATATTCAAAAACGATGAAGGCGAAAGCATCGCTGGCAGTGGGAAACTACAGTGTGTAACTTGACACTGCTGAGAGGGAAATGCTGAGCGTTTCTAAGTTTAGGATCAGCTCAGATACAACACCTGAGATAATTAACTCAGGGTTGGGCTCTCAGCCTCTACCACTGATCTGTGGTACGTTTGTCTTGGACTTTTTACCACGATGACTCAGAAAACCAACCCTGCCGTGCTGGGGACTGACGGGCAGCACAGGCAGAGCATGGCAGTGAGGACTACACTTCTCGTACCAAACGTTTCTGCGCTGGAATCCATTGCCTCTCCCCTTTTGGGCCCAAATAACTTTTCCTATATAGGATTTGCCTCAAACTTAGGCAATCCCTTGCTGTGATTTTTTTTTTTCCAGTCTCAAAGAATTTCCTTGTTTTCTTAATATTAGGAAGAAGCTCAAGAATAGAGATTTTCATAACGTGTTGTATGTTTAATAGGTACGTGTGTGAAACTACCTAAACACACATACACAGTCAATTACAATGATTTGGTTCTCTATTTGTAGCAGCCAGTGAAAGCCAACAAGATCCCATAACTAGTGTGTAAAATCCATGTCAGCTGGACACCATTGATGCAAGTGATGAATAAAATTATTGCTTTTGTGGATAGTAGAAGATCCTGTCTTACTGTTGCAAAGGAAACTGCATCCTATGGACTAGTGTTTTGTTTTTCAAGTAATAGCAAGATCTTTGTCAAGTAGTAGCAAGATCCTTTTCTCAGAAGTTCTACACACAACAGTAGAATGCTTGAGGAACTTGAAAATAAAAAGGTGACACACCAGAAACTAGAGTCTAGCCATTTAAAGCACCCAGGCATCTCTACAGGATGTGCTATAGGAAACAAACAAACAAAAAACCTGCTGGGTCAACGAATATTGAAAGTAGAGTAATCTGGACAATCCACATTACTGCTAAATTTCACACCAAGAAACTTGTGTATGCTTCCTAAAATACCCAGGAGCCAAGACCTAAAGGACAAAGTGTGGCTGGCTGCAGTCTGGTGGTCACTTTACAGAATTGGTAGCACATTTGCTAACTCACTTTAGCAAACGGAAAGAATTAAAAAGAAAAACAGTGTTGTTTTTAACATTCATGACTCAGAGAAGAATTTCTTTCTGCAGCTAGATGGTCCCCCTCCTCACCCTTTTCGGAGAATCACATTCATATTGCAGGCTTAGTTCAGGCACTTTATATAAAATGTTCATCTGGAGTAAAAAGTCTGCAAAAGTTATTTCTGCATAATTTAAAAGTAGCATTTCAGTCCCATTTTAGTTTGATAGATAGGTCCCAGTTCATGATTATGGTTCCTCTTCTTGATTTGATTTGACCGTTGCCATGAGACATTTTGAGGCTACTGTATAGCTGTAGTTAGGGTTTCTTCATAAACAAAAATATTTTCCTACCTATTAAAAAAGAAAAATATACTAAATGCTTTATACAGACAGATTCTGCTACTATGGAAATAAATAACATGGAGTGGAAAACCAGTGCCTTAGCTCTAGGACGCTAAGCCATGGAATGTCACATTCACATTTTCTGGAGACTAGCTGCTGGTTGGCAGGAGTATCTCCATGTCTTTGCCATTTGACACTACAGTATTGGTAGAGCAGCTACTTGCCACGTCCATGGGGGCACCCAGAGAGGACGCCTGAGAGGAGGTTTTGGTGAGCGGAGCAGGAGCAGCAGGCGACTGAGCGAGGCCAGGTTTCTTTGGAGGAATGGGTGGAGGGTTCCCTCTTTCTGCTCTAGGAATGGTTGGTGACTTAATCCCAGGAGACAACGGGCTTAGTGGACTGGAAACCTTGCCAGGGCTCGGAGAATGGCCAGATTCATTTTTAGGGCTCACGGCATTTGCCAGATTTCGGTAGTCTGTGCCAAAAGGTGAGCTATTAGGGGAGACAGGTTTAA